GATGGATGGATGGATGGATGATGGATGGATGGATGGATGATGGATGGATGGATGGATGATGGATGGATGGATGGATGATGGATGGATGGATGGATGATGGATGGATGGATGATGGATGGATGGATGGATGGTTGGATGGATCTACTATTTAAATATCTAAATGAACTGTTGCTCCCATTAAAGGATTCTTATCCTCCATTCCCTTTAGAAACAGTAACCGATAGAACTGATGAATGTAAATAGAACACATCTGAACCGGACCGTACCAGAAACAACCAGATCTCGCCACATCTAGTACCAGTTCATCTACGCCTCGATTATCTGCTAACAAATGAGCAGAACATCATCTCCTATTTACAGTCAGCTGAGATGTCTGGCTTTGATCTTTTCACCTTTTCGTAACAAAAACTCCTTCTCAGCTTATCAACAATAAATGGCATCAAAAGAGCGTAGTGCGACCTGGGATGATGGCGAGACCGAGGCTGTCATTGAAATTTGGGTGGAGGACGCTATCCAGGCACATAAGATCCTGCATGTTATGACCGCGCCGCCATTTTTGTTTGAGTAATTCCCGCCTTTAGAGCTGCAGCATAGTGGATATCAGTGAGGAACCGTTCTAGCATGACTAAACTAAACAAGTTAATATAGGTAGCTAGGTAACAGATTTACCCCCCCAGACCGTATCGTCTGCAGCTAATGATCTATACAACTGCATGGAAAAAATCCCTAAGAGTTAGAGCAACATTTAATTTATCTTTGGGATCAATAACGTATTTTTGAAGTGAATTCATGATGTATATCAGTAAGTTTTTACACATTGTTTCTTTTATCTTCTATTACAACAGAGTTGTAGAGGAGTGACCAACTGGCTGGGGTCATTTAAGGACGAGTTTAGCATTTTTTCTACTAATAGGACTAATGCTTCTGCCATTTGTCCAAAAGTCTCACTTGGTGATTAATTAATATAACTACAGTATAAAAATCCATAGAATGTTGAGCCAGACTGACCAAATATATAACTACTGCACTGTAGCTGTGAACTATTGGCAGATATGATGCTGTGAATCAAAGATATTGAATAAATAGAAACGCAGCTTGCCATAGAGCTGTGATTCCTCTTCACAGGCTGTTTCTGGGGGGGTTGATGCACCGAGCACAATGCATCCCCCCCTCAGGTAGCAGAACTAGAGCTAAACTTTAGCTCACCTTAGTGATGACTGTAGAGAACATCCCATCCTTAGCTGGCATGCTGGTGACCTGTACATACAGGTAGTCATTGTCTATGAGAGGCCACGCCCCCGACACAGCACACGTCTGGAAGTCATTATTAAACGTTCGAATATGTGGATCTCCAAAGATACTGCAGTACAGGTACTCTGGCATCTGGCCCTCCCTGCTGAAGTGGTTCTTCTCATAGAGGCAGGTGTCTCCGGACACCGTGCCCTGTGCCTGGGGCCGAGGCTGGGCTGTTGGCCCCCCTCGGGGGCAGCGGTGCTGGATGAGCAGGTCCTCAATACCCTGAACTGCAGAGTGGTAAGCTAGGTCTCCTCGACATGGTCGCGCCATCCTCTTGGTGCACATGCTGTAGGAGCGCAGGGCACTGCAGTAGGCTGAGTTTGCTGAGTCCTTGCCAAGAGCTTCTGCACCGCTGCTGCTCAGGTGGACCGTTGCAGCAACAAACTCAGAGTTGCAGCGAAGGATCCGACAGGAAGCTCCAGCTGAGGAGACACAGGTTTATTGGATCAAACTAAATAAGTAGAACATCTTTTAACAGCAGCTTTAAAGACGCAACACAGATTCTCAGTTGGATTTAGACGCACGGCCCAACACAGAAGAGCGCCCTCCTCTGGACAAGAGGGGCGGAGCTACATGGGGGGCCAGGAGTGGCCATGGCCACCCTAAGCCAATCACTGGCCACCCCTGTGGCCACCCCTCTAATACAGACGGTGGCAACAGTAATACTCAAGTGGAATATTCAAACCATTTTAATTTTCATATATTAACATTTACTTGACAATAAACATACAGCGGTTAATTATGCACATAAAAATACTGAAATTAAAGCTAAGTACAGAATTCATGCTCTTTTCAGAACTAGACTTTGTGTTTTATGGGGTAAAGAGAAAATTATGTGTCTCTGCAAGTCATCTAAGAGTCTTCAGTGAAATCATAGATAAAAACGTATTAAATAATCAATTTATGTAGATATTTTTACTTGTAAATATCTTTTTTTTGCAGAATGATTATTGATAAAATAAGTAATGACAATGGAAACGATGTCTGCTTCAGAACCTAAACCTGAAAGAATTTTATCCACTAAATATGCGTCTATTTGTTAGCAAAGGTTGGAGGAAAGGATAATTTGTCTTCATTTAGAGAACATGGATGTTGTGCTTACAGTGTATGGCAAGCCGTTTTAACATAAATTTGGTTGTATCACCTTTACATTCAAGATATCTCGAATAGTTTTATGACTAAACGTTTTAGCGATTTAAAGATATCTCTAATTACATGAATAGTACTAGTATTACTGACTAGTCGAAATGACCTCAGATTTACTATTATCTTGTAAGGAGACGTCAATTTAAGATATCTAGAAGGAATTACTGACT